TGTATGTTTAAAAGCATCACATTAAGCGATTTGTCAGATTGTGACATAAAAAAGTTTTTATAGCAGGCTCATTTTGCACCAGATCATTGATAGGTTTGTCCGAACTGAGTTTATCCTCAATTTTGTGTTGATGTTTCTGCCTTGAACATTTTTTTGAAGAAATATCTACTAAAAATTGTCCATCAGAATTCTGTTTTGCAGTGCTTTGGTATTGCTTGCCAATGATTTGAAGGTCATTCATTTTGCTTAAGATTGCTTTAGATAAATATCAGTTCCCAGTTTTATTGATGCTGAATCCATTATAAGCATAATTTGATTTTCTCAATATATTGTTGCATTTTAGCAAATTTGTTGATGACAAACCATTCTTTGAGTATATGGGTTCAAATATTATTTCTACTGGAAATGATGAATGCTACTTACTGTGTGAACGTGGTGGAAGGGGAGGTGCTCCGTCCAGACTACTGGACTCAGGCCAAGAATTCCTTAACGGAGACATACCATCCGTAGGAGTCATAGACATTGCATGCCTCAAAAGTCTGGGAGAAGGTGGTTTAGTGAGAGACCTTTCTCTGGAATGGGTAGATTTTGGCGGTAGAGGGATATCACATGGGTCAGACTCCCTATAAAAACGAAAAATTATGAAGAAAAATTAAATAAGCAAGTACTGAAAACTGCTAACCTAGATTTCATTGAAGGTAAGCTGGAACTATTATAATCTAGAGGTCCTCTAGTTGGCGTTCTCAATTCCGTAAAACTTGTATTGTTAAATCCTTGAGATCTTGGTCTATTCTCTCTCTGAGGTATTGGAGGTGCATTATTTGTAATGGCCATTGGCAGTGATAGGTTTTCTCTACTCAACACGGGCCGTTCATTTTCCTAAAAAATCGATAATTTTCAACATGCTTTACTTAAAAAGTGGAACATCAAATTTTATTCTACTCAACAAAATGAATTCATATCAAAGTAAATCAATAATATATAATTTTCAAAGTACCGTTGGTTTGGTGTAAATATTATCATAATCTGCCGTATGGTGCTCGAAGAGATGACCGTAATTTCCACTTGATCCAGAAGATCTGTTGCTTCCATTCTCCATTAACAGTCGCTTGTCAGTAGGTAGTGGCGGCAAAGGAGTACTGTAATCAAAACGTAGATTTGTTTATTGATTTATTTGTATCCAAACAGACCAAAGGTCTAATTACATGGATAATAAATAATAATCTTCACATTTCAATAATGGGGAGTGTTCCTTCTGACGAAAATCAAGTAGTTTTCATAAAAGAGCTCTAAAACAACGCATTTTAAACTTATCATTTCAACCTTTTTCTTCAAAAAATTATTCAAATACTTAAAAAAGAGAAATGAAATAATGCATTCAACATTTGAAGGGATTCGTTTCTATTTCACCATTTGGCAACATCGGCTATAGCTAATAAGGCACAATGAATCTGTTACTGTATGAGACAAACAAAGATGACATATCGGCGTGCTGTTCTGTTCAGTTATGTTCCGAGACATTCTGCGACATATGACATTTTGTGCACCTAACCTATCTTCCTCTATATAAATAAATAACAAAACAACTGTTGTTTATGTGGCTTGTGGAGATGGTATTGAACTATAATTTATATTTTGCCTTAATTGTTGATTTATAAAGATAATTTTCCTTTTTTAAAGTACAATATTTAGGTACATATAAATTATTTCAACTTGATATAGGCGTTGTTGCCAAGATGTGAATCAGAAACAAATCCCTTTAAAAATTAAAACCCAACATTTGAAACATCAATTTGAGTACTTTTCGAAGTGAATTTGAAAAACTCATGAATTGAACTCAACTTTATTTTGTTCAAACTAGCATTTGCTGTAATAACCCGAATTGAGAACATTCCCCATTATAAATCATGAGTCAGTTGTGTTCTACTCAAAAACTTTGAGTTTGAATAGCAATGAACTATATGTACTCTGTTATTGAATATAGTTGTGCAATAAAATCAATAATAAAAATATATGTAAATTATCTTATCGATAGAAAATCATATTCTTGCACAGATAAAAAATGAGTGGAACTCAATTTTTTCAAATGGAACACCCTGTATATTTCAACATTTTAATTTATACCAACAAGTCAAATCGGCACTATGCGCTTTCCTAAATATTGATGTCTTCACATACTGAATAGAAACTACCACATATGAATCAGATTGTGATGAAAACCTTACAAAATATAATCTTTGATTGTTCATTGTACTCACTTCACAATGCTGTTGATATTTTGTTGACTGAAAGAGCCAAGACTATGTTTAAGTTGAGCGAATCTTTCTAAAAGTCTTTGGTGAAGAGGTTGAACACTTGTAGGAGCTAATTTATATGATCCCAGTGGCTGAAGCTTACCTAACCGCAGCAACCTCATCCCCCTATGGTGGCGTTAATTATATTTGATAGTATCGCTTCGTCTGTAGAAAAGCAAACAAGGAACTCGTGTTCCTCGGGGCTTCAGCACATGTGCCTCCTGCATGGTTTCTACCGAAGAACCGTCATACCTTAGCCAGAACTTGTAGCCGACGTGGAAGACATCGGTCACATAGTGTCCAATGTTGGCATCTTTGCCGTCGTGGTAAACGACAGCGAATAGCTTTTACTGCTGACGAAGTCAGCCCTTCTAAACGGTTCTTGGATATAAATATCTTAAGTGCTTCCCTGACAGTCTTTACTTTCTCAATGTTGAGCGGCAGGATGAGGAAAGGCTGGACATTCTCATCCGGTACGATGAATGTTCGACTTTAGTTTTCTCCTCAAAAATGTCACTCATTGGTGTACTGGTGAAGTCTATCCTTCTGGTTGGATTTGCTTTATTTTTCGATTCTATTATGTTCCATTCATTACTTGAATCACTGCTCAAAGCAGAGGTAACGAGGGGTTTTTCATCTTCAGTGTAACATTTAACCAACTCCATCAGCTTAAACATTTCATCATTGAGTCCGTTCAAAAGAAAACCTAGAAACTCCTCCGCATCTTATTGTCTACCCTCGATTCAGTCGGTCCGCATGTTACGCGATGCCAATTGTTGATGGTCATGCTGCTTGGTCATTCTCTGTATTTTTATCCACTCTCCTGTCTTCCGTCCTAATGCAGCAAGGTAGGTATTCAAACTGCTCCACAAAACGACGCATTCCAACTATAAACGGGTTAGATTTCCTTCTCTCGTTAGACGATATTTTTTTGCTGAGGTTGTTCACAAAGTTGTAGAGTGGTGGGCAAGCAATCAGGGCTTGCAAAATCGAGTTGACGTAGCAGTAATGGCGTTGATTAAGCAGACATCTTGGCTGCAAACTCACTGCCCTACCGTCGATCGTGTATGTAGATAGAAACCCACCCATTCTATAACGGACCTTCTGGAATTCTCGAGTATATTGTTGTTGTACTCGTTTTCAGCTGCCTGGTCAAAAGCGACTTCGTCGAAACTGTTGACGAGCGTTGTTGGATTTGAAAAGATTTGCCCAAAATTTTTCGACTGGGGTAGGGTTCGTTACTATAACTCCGAAGGGAATTAGTTCTTTGAGGGACTGTACGGGTTCAGCCGAAGGACTCAGTTCAGTCTCATTTTGAATACCCTTTTCCTATTTCGTCAAAGCTTGACAATTCTAATGCGGGTCTTCCACCACATTGCCCATTTCTGATTCTTGCACTGTCTGCTGATACTCGTATCTACTGTTTGTGAGAATAACCAATCTGTTGCCCAGAAATATAAGGATTAGGAGAGGACATAGGAAAAAGAGAACTGTAATAGATAACGCTCGATTGGGGATGGGGATAGGACATAGGCGAATTTTGGTGGTTCATCGTCGGAGAGATCATAGTATGCAGGTAATAGTTAAAGGTGGAGATACGGCAATCGGTAGGATCAGATTTTCAAAATTCTATCTCTAAACATTTTTGAATCCTCTAGTATTCATTTTTTAAGATATCCATTGATTTCAAGGAAGTAAATGATGATTTGTCAAAAGAATTTTGGCTATCTACTTCTCAATTGTTGAAGAGGAACTATTGAAACTTCCAAAGAGGGAAGAAGACTCTATAATAAAAACTCTTCAACATATCTTTACAAAGTTTTTATTGAAGTGATTTTTTTTTCTTTCTCAGGAAGTATCCCCACATTTTTGTTTAATGATGGAGAAAGCCAGAAAGCTTTTCCCGAAAAATATTCCTTTTCAATTCAAAAGAAGGAGTATAGCACCAGAAAATAGAGTGACAGAACCACACCATTTCAAATCTGTAACCTGTGACCACTTGATAATTTCCAGTATAAGTACCGGACTGAGTCATAGCCAGTGGGAGAAATTGTACATACATACAGTGCATTTCCTTGATGTCCCCCTTTTCATTTTTTGAACGGGTCAACTCAAAAAATGGAAATTTGAGATACTGAAATTAATGCATGAATACTTTATTTTGAAGTGAAATTGACACATGAAACTTTCAAGATGGCGACTGGGCGTCAACTGGGAAAAAAAATTAAACGGAAAGGGGGTCTTGTGACACATCATTTTGAAGCTCCTGACGAATACTTCACAACCCTAGAATATGAAGTCAATATATTTACCTACTATAGCAATGGCAATTCCAGCAACCCAATAAGGTTTGTTAAGTTATTTTTTGTTTATAAAAACGAAAAAAAATGTCAGTACGACAATGAACAACATTGTTCAGTTAGAATTTTCTCATTTAGTTTTCGGTTTTACTAGTACAAAGGTACCATGTCAACGATCTCTAAAACGGTCAATTCTCGTCCATTGGAAGAATAAATTGAAGCGATTTTTATTTACGGTGCTACGCGTAACTTTCACGAGACCGAAAGGGTTTTCAATGAAAGTTTTCCGAATCGACCTATCTTTAGAAAATATTTGAGGGAACTTGTATCCAAATTCACAACTACCGGTAGTATTTATAACAAAAAGCCCCGTCCCGTCATCCGTCCATTCTGGAAGAACAGCAAGTGCAAATAATTGGTGAGATGGTAGTAAATCCAGAACAGATGGAGCACCAGCACATTACTCCAAACAATTAAGAAACTATTTGGATACTACTTTTCCCGTTCGTTGGATTGGCCGTCAAGGTTCTACAGAATGGCCAGCCCGCTCGCCAGATTTTGACTTTTTTTATGGGACTATTTGAAGCAGAAGGTGTACGAAACTGAACCTGCTTCAATATTGGATATACGGCAGATAATAATAAATATTTGTAGAGATATTGACGACACTGTGTTCGAAAATGTTCGGCAAAATATCGGATAGGGTGTTCATATGTCAAGAAGTTCAAGGCAACCATTTTCAGCATCTTCTGAACTGACCTTGAGCTTATTACCTCATATTATGTAGTTAAATGTCAATGTATTTAGACAATTATTTAAAGTTCCGCAATTTTGTAGTAGTCGAAGATATTGACATTATATTTTAGGGTTGTGAAGCGTTTGTCAGGAGCTTCAAAATGATGTGTCACTAGACCCCCCTTTCCATTTAATTTTTTCGCAGATGGCGCCCAGTCGCCATCTTGAAAGTTTAATCTGTCAATTTCACTTCAAAATGAAGTAGTATTCATGCATTAATTTCATTATCCCAAATTTCAATTTTGAGTTGACCCGTTCAAAAAATAAAAGGGGGGGACATTAAAGAAATGCACTGTACTTATTGTATTGAGTTCAACAGCTGTAAATGTACACCGTTTTCTCTTACTAAAATAATTTTAAAATGGTGTAAATAATATTCCAATATTGTTTACACAATAATACATATTTACGTCTTGATATGATACTCACCCTGGTTGCATTTATTATCAATTCTTTCAATGTCTCAGCATGGATCTTATGTTCAGGATAGAGTTTAGCGAATTCTTTTGTGAAAAATGCTTGCTGGTATTTGCTGATACCTCCCTGGACGTTTGCGTCTATGATTCCTTGTAATCTCATTGTGAAAGGGTTCAAATTCCTCTTAGGATCCAGAGAATGAATAGTAATTAGTTGCCGAAGTTCATTCTCAACATTGCGCATGGTTTCACAAGCATACTGAACAGGTGGAATTTCATCTGTTTGACGGCTGATGACTTCGAACCACCTCAAAATTCCTGGAAGGGGACTCGCTATTTCCATAACCATTCTTTCTATCCATAAAGTCTGGAGAGAAAAAAAAACAAGAAGATTAGAGCTTGACATTTCGATGTCATTTGTAAAAAGAAAGAATAATATTGGATGATTCCTTATACCCTCTTTATTTCAATAAAAATATACAAACACCAGAAGCCGAAACGTCGAGTAGATGAAAATTACAGTACACCAAATTGCTGGCCATGGAAACCTATCCGGTTTCGGCTAGCCACGAAACTCCGAGTGCTCTTTGTGTATCAGTTCAATATAAAATTTAACAGATTCCTGAGAACAGTATGACTATATAGTAATAATAATAATAATGTCTTTATTTCCAATGAAAAATAATATGTTACATGTTATTCGCCTTATGCTACTCAGAAATCCCAAGGGGGAGTTCAACCGAGGGTGCTCTACCACTCCACCAATGCCATTTTGAATATTGTAATGTAACTTATAACGTAAAAAACTAACCTAACTAATTATAAAACATGAATCTACATCACACATCTATTGAAAACACTTTCCCAACATCAGAACAAAAACTGTTTCTCGACGCGAGTTTCGCTAACCAAGTTAGCGTCCTCAGATCATTGTGACTAAATTTGACTACTATGTTAGTGTTTTTATATCCTAATGGTCTAACTACTACCTGTTAGTTGTACCTAACTACACCGGTTATTATTATATAACATTGCCCACAACAAAAAATGGCGTAACTACAATTTCTTGTCCATAGACTGCTCACATTTTCCTTGGGCAATGAAAGGTATGAGATTGAGAAAAACGTTCTTAGGGAGGTGGCCGAAAGCAACGGGTATCCATCAAACATAGTGGATAAAAAAATTAGAAAACAAAAATTTTGGGAGTGTATTTGTAATGCCTTGACTTTTCAAAAAGAGAAAGTGCAGTTACAAGTTATTTTTAACTAGTGATGCATGAGTATTGCTTCCAATAATGATCGAGAGTAAAGCGCGTTGTCATATCTAAATTTTACGTTACCAGTTTATAGCAGAATCATAATATAGTAAGCAGTAGAGTTGTAGGTTGTGGCAAATTATANGAATTTTTCTTTCATTCTTAACCCTCTCAAAAATTAATAAGCACGCCCCCGATTTGCTGTCAACTGGGCTTACTTCTACTCTCAATCATTATTGGTTTTAGTATAGCGCTACTGATTTTTTTCGGATTGAGCACAAGGGAGTGTTGTTCTGCTACATTCGATTTTGCTTCTAAGTCATTGTTAGGTTTTGTAGCAGCATTGTCGAAGTCATTAACAGCAAAAAGGAGGTATAGCTGAATGTCAAAAAAGCGAAAATGTAACATTACTCTAAATCCTGATACTATAAATGACTTTTACGGCTCTATTGCAGAAATTATGAGTACCTGTCTCTGTATGACACCAACATTAATGAATTAATTGAAATCATGATGGATATTAAAAACAAAAATACTGCAGGATACGATAACATTTCTATCAAAATAATACAAAACCTTCCTCCTAGTGCCCTAAATGTACTAGTTTCACTGATAAATTTATCCTTTCAAACAGGCATTAACCCCTTTTTTCTAAACACCTCCGTGGTCATTCCTCTGCATAAGGGCGGAGATTCTGATGATCCCTCTAATCTCCGCCCTGTATCTCTCATACCAACCATCGCAAAAATCATTGAAAAACTAGTTGGACTACTTGAATTCATAAATAAGCATAACATCATCAGTGAAAATCAATTCAGCTTCCAGAATAATAAAAATACGCACAATGCTATTTTCTCATTTCTGAATAGTTTATTCAGAGATAAATGTCGGTGAAAAGACTGCCGTAGTATTTTGTGACCTGTCAAAGGCATTCGACTGCGTTGATCACAAAATACTGCTGAGAAAGCTCCAACGTTATGGATGCAGAGGAGTAACTCACAAATGGTTCGATTCCTACTTAATGGGACGGACGCAAATGGTCAAAACAACTCAACTTTCAAAAAAAAAGGGAAATTAATTCTTGAGTTCCACAAGGTTCTGTGTTAGGTCCCATTCTTTTCTTATTATATATTAATGACCTCACCAAGCTTAATATTTCTGGGAAGTTCACTTTATTTGTAGATGACACTACCATACTTTGGAATAATAGAAACACTTGTGAGTTGCACAAAACAATCTCTGCTGACTTGAAAAAAGTTAAAGATTGGTGTGATTCAAACATTTTATCTTTTAACTTGACTAAAACAAATTTATTATCATTTAGATGCTCAATCAACGAACTTTTTTTTGAAGACAGATCACTGGAATCTAAAAATAACACTAAATTTCTAGGAGTCTTCATTGACCAGAATTTAAAATTTGTGGATCATGTTAAACAACTCACTAGAAAAGTCTCCTCTGACTGTTATGCGGTTAGAGTGATTTATAAAAGGTTTGTTCCAACCTTGAGTCACCAACAGATTTCCAACAGTTTGTAAATCGTTGTCAACGCGCATGTCTGGTAGATATTGGTTTCTGATTAATTTGAAATTTCTGATTGGAACAGCTGATAGTTCAACTGAAGTTTGCCATGGAATTTCAACATAACCTTTAAAAATAAATCTTATCAAGTGTATTTCTGGAGAGTAAAAGAAGGTTGCAGTATTTTATATCTTTATTCTATTTACTAATCAATATGGAACTGGGAGGTAAGTAGGTCACCGCAATAATTAATTTGTGTAATTGAAGATGTTCATATTTTAGGTTCACTTAAAGAATTCCTAATTTTTCCTGCGCCAGCAAATACATAATTTATTTTATAACAATTTTTGCAGGTTATGTTGTTTGCAAGTTGCATGAACATAAAACAGAAACAGTAATACGGAATACGCATGCGTCAGATTAATGGTTAGAAGATAATCCTCAAACCATTCTGATAGATTTCGAACAGGTTTGAGTCTTGGGTGGAACAGAAAGCTGATAGTTTACTAATGGTTGGAAACTCACGTTGGAACGCAATCACATTACTGTGCAGAATCCTGACTGTCAGAAACTGTTTCTGACGCTGGTTGGAACGAAACTAAAGAATTGGGGTTCAGCACTGCAAAGATGGCGTACTTTGCACTCATAGATTCTCACTTACACTAGGGAATACCGTTTTGGGGAGCATCAGTCCAACTTCACTCAAAAGTCTACTAATTTCACAGAAAAGGGCAATAAGTTATATAGGGAACCTAAAACCAAGAGACTCCTGTAGAACCTTCTTCAAAAAACATAGTATTCTAACGGTAACTGCATTATTTATACTAGAATCTGTGTGTTTAAGAAATAAGCATATAATAAATTTTGCTGCATCCTCTTCCCATTATAACACCCAACACTGCAGACACACTCTGCACACTGTGCCAACTAAAAACATTACCAGAGACTCCATATTTTACAACGGTGGAAAAATGTACAATCATTTGCCTATGGACATAAGATCTGCCAATATAAATGACTTCCAATTCAGGAAGTTAGTCAAACAATTTCTATCTGATAGACCCTATTATACTTTGGATGAATATTTTAACGATAGCTTTTAACTGACTTACGCATATTTTTTATCTTTACTTAAGTATGTACTACCCAAGCTTTGTCTTCAAGATTATATCTTATGGTAATAGAACATATTTTTATTATTATACATGTGAATTTTACAATGTTTAACACAGTCATGAAATTGGCTAGTATAAAGTGTGAAAAAAAGCGGTCCCAGAACTGAGCGCCGAGGTAGTCCCAAGATGAAATTTCCAGCTGCGGATAATTGATCTCCAAATTGAACGCTTTGTGCATAATTGTTGAGATATGACTGACAAAGCTGAAGATATTCCAAACAGTCTCTACTTATTTTCAAGATATTCATAACTCACTTTGATTTCATTTTCCTTATCTATAATGCCTTTATGCACTGGACGGTCACACTGAAATCTTCTTACATCATTGTAGTGGTAAAACCTTGAAATTTTTTCTGGAATATCAGTTGCTAGGGTGATAGGATTGGATTCTGGAATGGGTTTAACATTGCATATTTGAATAACTGGAATACAGTTAAGGAGTGTTGACTTTCATAGTTTACAGTATTGACAAAAAAAAAATTAAAGGATACATTGTCCATCTGAATTGATAATAGTGTCATCTGGGGGTGTATTTTTCATAAGTATTTGTGCAGACGGAAATTCGGTTTGTAATCTTTGTGTAAAGGCACCTATTCTCTCATATTCCAATCCTCTATACACAAATTGTTTATTCTACAAAAAAATACATTGATTTCGATTCAAGTTCTTTGGACTTTCATCTTACCCTCACGAATAAAGGAAAACCTAATCCATAAAAACCCACTCGGAAAAATTCAGGCTCCGGACGGAGTTGAGTTAAGATGTTATCAAAAAACTTTGCCTGATATTTCAAGATATCGCTGAGCAGCTTGTAATCGAAAAATATCGATTCATAAAGGTTGGCCAACTCCTTCAACAGTGGAATACCTTTCTCCCAACACTGAAAAATAGTCGTTAGTAAACGAAAGTTAACGGAAAATTGATAATACCTTTCCCTTATCGAAGTAGTTGATGATTTGCCTATACAACAATTCTTTCACTTGGCATTCCGTGTGATTTGGGTAATTCGGATCAGCAACTTGATTATTATTCCAGTGTAGTTGGTCAGCGTATAATTTCAGAGTGAATGCGGCCTCTGTATAATTCTCAGCTGATAAATGTAAATCATGAAGTTTGTATATGTACCTGAGATACATTTCCTTTCTGTTGAATTCATTCTTGTAAAAATTCTGGAAAAAAAGAAATAAAAGTCATCAAATCATTGTACTTTCATTACAGCATATTCGTATGCTGCTGTTCAAAACGTAAGATGAATTTTCATTTTTCCCAAAAAATATTTATTCATTCATCAATTCATTCAGAGTAGTCCTGCTCACTTGTGCCAGCGTTTTTTCCAATCCTTGAAGCAGTTATGATATGCACTTTTTGGTGTGTCCTTGAGCTATTAGCGATTCGGTTTTTATCTCCTCAATCATCGCAAAACGCTGTCCTTTCAAGGATTTCTTCGATTTTGAAATCAGAAAAAAGTCGCAGGGGGGCAAATCTGGTGAATACGGTGGCTGAGGCATGATTACGGTCTTGTTTTTGACTTGTTCTTCATTTGACGAAAATATCAGTCCTTCGAACGCAAGTTTTAGATGATGGAATGAAAAGAAGTCGCTTGGGGCTAGATATGGTGAGTAAGGCGGATGTTCAAGCAGTTCAAACAATAATTCGTGGATTTTCGCCAAGGCAACCTCTGAGGTGTGAGACGGCGCGTTGTCTTGGTGAAACAGGATTTTTTTTTCTGCAAATGTGGCCGTTTTTCCACAAGTTCTGCCTTCAGCTATGTAATAATATGTAGTATGCTCCTGTGATGGTTTTTCCTTTTTGAAGATAATCGACTAAAATAAATTCACGACTATTTTAGTAGTGGTTTTTACCATTTTTGAAGCTAAGCCGATTACTTCTTTACAGTCTACTGTTTGGACTGTATTTTAGTTTTGGGCATATAATGGTGTAACCAAGTTTCATTTACAGTAATTAATCGGCGCTAGGCACCTAACGCGAGGACAGCTTCCTCCTGCCTAAATGTTGACTTAATATGTAACAAACACGTTCTTTTGATATGTCATAACATCTGCTATCTCCCTCACTTTAATAAGGCAATCGTCTAGCACCATTTGGTGAACTTTGACGATATTTTCATTGGTAGTTGCAGTTTTTGGACGTCCCGAACGTTCATCGTCTCCCAAGCTCTTACAGACCGTTTAAATTCAGCTGCCCAAAATTTCACTGTGACAAATGATGGTGCAGAGTCCTCATACACAGAATCCAACTTATCTTTGATTTTTGTGGGGGTATTGCCTTTCAAAAACACATTTTTAATGACAGCTCCATACTCGATTTTGTACATTTTCATTAAAACACTCATATCAAGTCACTTAAACGACAGTTACAACTGCGCGTCCAAAATGGTTGGAACTTTGGTGAGTACAGTTTGTCAAGAATAGGAAAAAGTTTCAAAATTTTAATTTGAGACCGAAGACAGGAGTGGAAACGTCCACAGCCCAGTCAGTCGAATTTGTCTGTTGTGAAGTGAGCATCGCGGGTTAATCGAGTGTACAGTCCGAGCAGAAATGAAGCGTAAATTTTAAGCAGTATACAAAAAATTTCAAAGGAAATGAAATCGATTGAGAATGGAGAAGCCGCTGCTTCTTTGACACCAAATATAAAAAGAATGCCGCAGCTAAAGCCACCTTAGATGGTTTTGATAAAGGATTGCTTCGAAGATTTATTATTAATTATTAAACTGTCGATAAAAAGGTTCCAAGTCTTCGGCGCATACATCATAAATTTAAATCCAAAAATAACTATGCTGGTTCCTACAAAAGCTGGAGAAAATTTATGCATGACATGGGATTTCGTTGGAGGAAAACGACAAATAATCGAAATTATTAATGGAAAAGCCGGATATCGTTCAGTTAAGAACAAATTTTTTGCGAAGTATGAAAAAATTTCGAGAAGAAAAGCGACCCATAATTTCCATGGACGAAACCTATATTCATTCCTCGCCTACCTACATAAAAACCTGAAATGACAATACTAGTGAAGGTTTACATAAACAAGTATCAAAAGGGCAAAGACTAATAATAATTTAGATCAAATACGAAGTCAGGTGATCATCATAATGAGATGAACTTCACGAATTATATAAAATGGCTTCAGGAGATGCCCATAGGCATAACGTTCTAAGGCTTCCTCCATACCACCCTGACTTAAATCCTATAGAGTTAGTGTGGGCGTCTTTAAATCATTATGTTGCACAAAGAAATGTAGATTTTAGCTTAAAGACCGTGGAAAGATTATGCGATGAATTTGTTTAGTACATGTTGTGAAACTGAGTGGAAAAAACGATGTGAGCATGCTCAAAGTTTTGAACAGTTTTTCATGGAAAAGGAACCAACATTAGATTTCATAGTAAACGACATGATAATCAACTTACAAGAAGATAGTGACACTGAACCAAATTACATCAGTTCAGACCTTAGCGAAGATTCATCCTCCGAAGATTAAGATAAAATATTGTTTTTATTTAAATTTTTGCGTTTTTTTGCCTTTTATAATTTTTTGCTTTGTATTGTTTTATTTGTAATTGTTACGGTCTTAGAAATTTTTCGCCGTATTTTTCGTATAAGTATAAGCAACCTTCTAATTCAAAGCAAGTTTTATTTATTTATTCCAAACATTTCTCATTAATGGCATAACCATTATTCATAATATTCTAACTCAAAAGAATACTAATCCCATAATTGAACAAGTTATCTTTATAGCCCTCATTTCCTGTCTTAACTCTTATTGGTTGGGTGGTCGATGATTTGAACCACATAACAAACATCCCAATTGTCGCGGTGGACCACGATTTGGACCAGCTACAGTAAAAATTTTCTCAGCTGGAATGGTGGTTCATTTTGTCGTTCACCATCACCAATGCTTCCGTAGGTTGCTACGTGACTTAGTGACATCATGATTTTAGCGCGAGCTTGGTTTTCCTACCAAGACTCAATCTCCCGAACTGCGGATTAGAGGTTAGGTTCATTGTTTACATCGAATCACAGTTATCAGTGAAGTCAGTTGTCATATACATATTTATATATTGTTCTTTAATATACTGTTGGTGAGTACAATCCATTCTTTGTTTGAAAATTGTCTTAGGAGTTTGAAAAAAGTATTTAGATTTGGTGGTAATTTTTTTGGACCACCGCTCCACTGCAACGTAAAATTTTTTTCAAATTACCTGATGGTTTTCAGGATAATGGCAAATAACAAAGAAGAAAGATCATTCAGATTAGTCGGTATGACCTCAAAGGAATTTGATGAACTGCTGGACGATGCTTACGTCGATTCTTTACCATCTGATAATGAGTCAGTTATATCTGATACTATAGATTCAGACGAAAATAATAATCATGACGAAATTGCCGGTGAAATGTTGTTGATGGACAGTGAAGATGAATTACAACAGGAGGACTCTGAAGACGATATGCTTTATCCATGCTGCGCACCAATCTGAAGAAACAAAGGAAAAAAGTATGCCACATGTGTGGGGCAAATTGAATAGGCCAACATCGCCACCGTTATTCGTAACTGAATATGGTTTTTTGAAGAATTCCACTGACATGACACCTTATCAACTATTTCAGTTATTTTTCACAGATGACTTCATCGATCATTTAGTATTTCATACTAATCTATATGCAGAACAACATTTGGCAACAGGAAAAAGCTCTACTAATACAAATATTGAAGAAATGAAGGCGTTCTTGGGTTTGAACTTATTGATGGGAATAAAACGGCAGCCAAGCTATAAGGACTACTGGGCAAGTGCTCCATAACTTCATGATACTTACATAAGTTCAATTATGACCTAGAAAAAATTCAGTTGGCTCTTGTCACATCTACATATGAACGAAAATTCTATGATTCCCTCACGTGATTCACCATTGTATGATAAACTTGTAAAGTACGCCCAATGTTGGATCACCTCACACAAAAATTTGAAGAGTGTCTGCTGCCCAGTAAAGAATTAGCCCTAGATGAATCTATGATTACATTCAAGGGTAGGAGTACAATGAAGCAGTACATGCCTAAAAAACCCATCAAGAGAGGGTACAAAGTATGGATGCTCTGTGATAAATTAGGGTATTGCTTGAAATTTGATATCTATATTGGAAAATCCTCCACTGGGGATGTGGAAAAATGTTTGGGGTCCAGAGTGGTGACAGAGGGCTTTTCAGGAAAGAATCACCTATTGTTTTTCGACAACTTTTTCAATAGTGTTAAACTCATGGAATATTTGAGAGAAAGAGGGATATATACTGTTGGAACTGTGAACATTTTCATGCCTATCTGCAAAACAGATAAGCAACTGAACCGAGGTGAATTTTACTGGTACACCAGTGACAGGGGACTGCTTGCCATGAAAGGGTAAGAAATCTGTTCATCTTCTTTCTAACTACCACAAACCAGAAAGCATCACTGAAGTAGATCGTAGGGAGAGAAGCGTAAATGTAGTAAAGGTGCCGTGTCCACAAGCTCTGGTTGACTACAACTCAAATATGAATGGGGTTGATAAGTTCGATCAGTTACTTAGCAGTTACAAAATCAATAGACAAAGTAACAACATATTTTTTTATTTTCTCGATGCTTCTGTTGTGAATTCTTATTGTCTCTACAAGCTAATGAACTTACCCAAAACAAGTTCGAAATCATTTAGAAGAGCAATTATAGCTGGACTTACGGCTTCAACGTTAGCATCCTCAAACGGGGTCAAGTCTTCTTCTAGAAGGGCAAGCTCAAATGTACCTCAATTGGAGATCAAAAAATCGAAACCTTATGTTTCGAAAGAGAATCGCTGGACATCATTGATGGATCAGCCCGAACGTACTTCAACGAGGAGGTGTGCTCTATGTAGCACAAAAGCACACCCCGTGCGTACCGATTGAAAGTGCTCCACATGCGGCGTTCCTCTTTGTTTAGGGAAGGAAAAAACCTGTTTCCAAACTCATCACTCACATTAGTTCATCTTTCCTATTATACACTTTACTTTCTAATTAAAAGTATCATTTTATTATTATATTGACGTTTTTTCAAAGCTGAAACGGTGGTCCAAATGATAAACCACCACTTTTTGTGAAAAAAGACGATTTTATTTTTTATTTTCTAGATTAAATATGATTTTTGTATAGACAAAAATGGAATGATACCGCAATCATATAATTAGAGTGAGAAAAAAATTTGGGTTCCACTTGGGTTAAAATTTCATGATGATTCTGAAGCCAGTAAGAGTTAACCAAAATTATTTTGAATTCAATAATGAGATGGACTAATAGTGGGGACTTTGTACGTTGGTTTTACAGTTTATTCAGGGGACTGTACATCTACACTAAGCAGAGACAACTTTAATCGCAAATATGTGCATCTTTGTTCCTCCGAATGCTTTCTAGCTTTTCGTTAAGCGCAGGCCGCAAAAATTTCACCCTTTTTCCTATTCTTGACAAACTGTAACTGTCACTAGCTCTTGTTTACGACTGCTGCTATCTTCATGTTCAGGTCGTAAACTCTTCAGATCACCCTCGTAATAAGCAAATTTAGGCTATGATAACAAGACGTTTATATCATAATGACCTTCCTTATTAAACCCCCGACTGAGTATCCACAAAGGCAGTCTATAGATTCACGTTATAATTTGCAGGAAAAACTCTGCCGCTCTCTAGTTGAATAAATAAAGATCCTATCAATATTTTGTACAAACTAAAATTATTCACTTCACCGAACTGCATTGCAAAAAGTAATACTGAAACCGAATATCATTTAAAGTAAAAGAATCACATATTTAGGCACCTACCAATAGATTGAATGTGCAAGACATTCTTTTGTCTCGGTTTTCGTCCCCCTGGATGACATTTCGGTAGTCCAAAAGGCGTTCTAAGAGTCGAGTTATGGAGCTTATGAATGCTGCACCACTTTCTTTCCACGCAGGATCCTCGGACTGAACTCGATCTAACAAACTATGAAAATGAACAAATCAGCATTCACATGAATTTGATAGGAACTCAAAAACGTTATTTATGTTCAACAGAATGTTATATCAGTTACAATTATAAAATACCACTGAAGCCGTTTTTTAATGGCAATGTACAGGACATGCCCATATCATAAAATACCTATTGAATACAAAATAAATTTGAATATAGGTATTATGAAACAAACTTGATGAAAGGATAATATTGAAGCAATAAAAGCGGGACCAACCAAAGATTTCAATGGTCCAGGGCAGAGTTTGGGTGAGGCCCCTCTTACCACGAAAAAAATAAAAATGAGGAAGAAAAATAGCTTTTGAATTTTCACTGGTCAAATTATTCCATTTGCTCACAATTCTCCTGAAATTGAACAAGAAACCATATCCTGGTATCTACCTCTCTTAGGGGCATTACTTCCATATCAGAAGCATGAAAAAAACATTGCATTAGCTATGCTTACTGTACCAAAACAGACAAAAAATCACAATGTTTTCTAAAAAGATTCAATACAAGACAACTAAACAATTATTGAACTTCAATACTGAATCATAGCATATCAGTGTTTATATTCACTAACGCTTTTTAAAAACATTAAATTAAACATTGTGAAAGTAAATTTAAGAGCAAATGAAACGAAAATACAAAAAATGTTTGTAGACTGAACACTAAATTAAAATCTTTTTCCTAGCCTAGCAAAAGACAATTCGCTAAAACTGTATAAATTTGAGTAAAAATAGACTCCAGTACTTTTTTGTAATGAAGAAAAAGAGAATTGAAACTTTCTGTTTTTTACCACTTTCATTTGTAACCAACGTTACTGCAGTTTCGTCCTACAAGGACATTTTTAAACTTATACGTTAAACATAAGAAGTTTCTTCATTATGATTTACTAACACGTAGTAACGGCTACATCCATCAAATGGAGTTACTTTTTTGCTACTCTACACATCTTGTTTATTTTGAAATCAAATGCTTCCTTTCTTTCCTTGGAAAATTTGTAAATTTTTTGTTTATTATTGTAAATCTTCCCCTAAAAAAATAACGCCGGCTACCGCCAATCAATTGTGACTTGACCAAAATTGCGCTCAACTTCCGCGTCGCTTCGATAAACTTTTGGCGACTTCCCTTTCGGCTTCGATTACCATATATAAACACTAGCAACAGGCATATCGAGGAAGTCTAGTTGACAGTACGGTACAAAGTTATCTTTTAAGGCGATGGACAATTAAATATTAGTTTGAAGTTTCAGGTAAAGTGTTTGGTTGTTTTGTCAGTGTAGCAGTGAAATAAAGTTAAGTTTAATTGTACAGTGTAATCAATTACTGGCAAACACACGGGAAAACCGTAACAGTATAAAGATGGAGAAGTAAGAAGCCATTATCTTTGTTTCTCAGTATAGTTCTTTTATGAAGTTTTCTTCATACACATCTGAAGGATAGGTGGACACAATTTTTCAGCTTCATTTCGAATTTGGATTTCACTCAACTAATAAGCTGTTGAAGTTATGGGATCATTTGCACTTGTAGTCCCTCTTCACAAGAGTTGAAAACAATCTTTTTTTTGTTATTTTATGTCTTCTGTAGAGGAGATACTGTTATAGTTATTAACGTTACAAGGTCGATATGTAGCAAATAATGGCTGAGTATTATTTGCGTATCGGCCGTGTGTCGTTCAAGATTTTTCGTAATCCCACTGAAAGATCACATTTTGATTCTGAGGAAAGAACAAACAACGTACATCGTAATTCTACAGAAAAATCCCATCGTGTTGTCATTGAACAGCTTAACAATATCACAACAGTTTTTTATGTCCGCTAGTTCGCTTTAACAACGAGCATGGATGAGATTGAAGAAATTGTGGAGCAAAATGAAATTTCCTCAGAAATATTGGGAAAATTATGTGCAGCGAGTGTTGATTTACTGCAAATTACTCAAGAGCAATATCAAAAGAATATGAAAATTTTGAAACGGCCGTCGGCTGTTAACATTAACTACTCAATCGTCATCTGAATATCTTGAATGTTTTTGGCAGGTATTCAATTGACAATTTTCAAATTATATGAATAATGCCAATTATTTTTTAATATTATATCGAATTTATACTTACACAGCACTCAGATGCTCCCTTTGTTAGCATTAAATACATTCAGAGTTAAAACATATCACATAAAATATGATCAGAATTCTCAACAAGTTGAAATTCCAACTATGTTTATCTTTTGTTAGAAATCATATGAATCAATATCAGTCTAAATCTTCTGTTTTCATACTTCCATTATGAACTGAACACTTTCGAGTGTTCTGAGCACTAGATAAATACCAATAAACATCAAACACTAAAATATATAAAGGAAAATATATTCCTAAAAAAGATAAAAGTAGTTGAAACTGACATTACCTTGAATACTAGTTTTTTTAAGTATCGATACTTACATAGTGTTAAATAATCTACGATATTCATCATCCCCTTTATTGTCCGAAATCAAAATATCCAATTTGTCAATCAGTTCGCATTCCACTTGTTTAAAATTTCCTCTGGCTCTCTGTTCGCACTCCATCATGTCAAAGAATATGTGTAGGGTAGCTTTCCTGAGTTCGATTTCCGGAACGAGGGTAACTTTGAGAAAAGGACCGACCATGGTCGGAATAAAACTTAGTTTACATTCACCTGAAAACATGAAAATGCCCATTACGATGAAAAACACATGCATAACCTATAGACGCACCTAACTGCGACCACATCGACAATATCTGAAAACCCATAAGAACTCTCATATCGCCATATTTCTCAATAATTTTTTCACGTTTGACGTCGGAAAACTGCTCGAGTTGCAAAGAGGCCTGCGTCAGGTAGTCGACTGACAGATTAAAATAGTTTGTCCACAGCTACAACATAATCTTTTCATGAGTAATATAAAATATATTTTTCAGAATAATTCTGTGAACCTATACAGGTTACAGCGCGATGACCATCGGTCATGATAGGATTCGTTTCCTGAAAATTGATAAATATAGGTTCAATGACTGAATGAATGAGTGAAAGAAAATAATGGCTTTTTTCCAACACTTCCGGTTACACCGGTAGAGTCAAATAGACAGCGGAGTCGTGAGTTTTTTTTTGAAAAGAAAAAACATTTTTTTACTGTCCATCCGCTCTGTGGCATTCGAGAGAAAAACTGAATGATACCATTCGGAAGAGTTTATTTTAGGCAAATTCTGGTTTTTAAATATGAAATCAAGTCTTTCGATGGATATAAACCAGCCGTGCCTTGTTGTGATATTGTGATTAAGTAATTCTGCTGTGGAGCGATCTTGCATAATCCTTATTATCGATTGGGATGAATGATCGAATGAAATATTTCTTCCGGACCGTTTAAAAACATCTCCGGCAATGTTAGGGCAGTTGAGCATTGGGAGGTAAGCGTATAGTTTTGTCACTTATTTTTTTTTGGCGCGGATGTATCGTGAAGTCAATCATTTACTTTTTTTTCGATGTTTTTTTCTGATTGAACCTCACTGACTTGTAAGTAGCGACTAAACCGCAAATTTTCTAAATCATATGGATAGCGATATTCCTATTTCGAACGAATGGAAGTGGAATCAAGAACTTGCACGAATTTCCATAGTAACGAGCTATAGGAATCTACACATCACTAGCAGCTAGATAAGTACCGATAGAAGGGGTATGTATGTATATAATAGGGAGGGTTAGTGTGTGAGTGTATATCCACAGCATTTAGGCCACATGTGACCCATTGTACACCTTCCCGAGGAGTTGTCATCCTAGGTCATCGTCCATCCTGTCCTTTCCAGGTCACTAGGAAACATCTCCTTTATATCGGCAGGTGTAGGCCAAGACTCGCACACTCTTTGGCAACCTTGAGGTATCTCACGGCGGTCTCCGCGAAGGTTTTGGAAGGTGAAACAACATTACTGTTGTAATGTTGCTTCAAACTTCTTCAAACTTCCTGGGGTTCCCCTAATGGAGGCGTTCTAGTGAGGGCGCTTTCCTGCAGGGGCAGCCGGTTTCCTGCCTATATTCAAGGCGGAGATCTTGGGGCCCCCCGTAGGAAGTGCCCTTGCTGTTGGAGGTGGAGTTAGGGAGGAGGATGGTGCACTTATACAGAGTGTAACTGAATAAGTGTAAAACATTTGAGGAGGTGATTCGTCATCGAAAATAACAATTTTTTTCACAAGCACTGAAAAAGTTACAATATTTAAATTAACCTGACGTTTTGTACTACCACAAAGACACTTAGCTAGTAATTTATTTGGTTTACCCCATGGTTGTGAGGGGTGGAAAACGCAGCCCCTAAAATTTATTTCCGATAGCCTGTTTCATTCTAAACAAAAAATGTCTCTTGGGTTTTTTGCCCAAGATAAACCAGTTCGCAGCAAAAAATTATTTTAGGAACAACTACAGAGATACATCGCCATAAATGCGAACTGGATTTATTGTTATTTTGTAGTTAGTACCTGCATTAAACGATTAAAGGGTAATAAACAAAACTAATTTATTAATAACAAAACACACAACATGTAGAAATCATAGTAAATGTTCAATATGTCTACCTTCAGACATTACGCATGCGTCTAGACGTCGGCGCATTGAGCCACGTATTCGCTCAAATATTCCAGGAGTCTCTCTGATCACCCTGCACGCATCGATGATGCGGTTTCTCAAGTCCTCTACATCGCGAACAGGAGTTCGATAAACCAAATGCTGTAAATGGCCCCAAATAGAGAAATCGAAAGGATTGAGATCCGGGGATCGAGCGGGCCAGTTCTGTGGTCCTCCTCGAACTATCCACTGATTTGCATATGTTTCAGTTAAATGCTGACGTGCTACTTGACTAAAATGGGCGGGAGCCCCATCATGCATAAAAAAACATATCCCTTCTGACGCCCAAAAGAACTTCCTCCAGCAGTACTGGATGCACTTCTCTTAAAAATTGAATGTATGCCTCACCATTTAATCGAGGAGGTAGAAAATGAGGACCAATTAAATCATTCCCAATAACTCCGAGCCACACGTTAAGAGAAAACTGCCCTTGATGGTTAGTTTCGACAATATAGCGTGAGGGTTTTCATCAGCCCATTTGTGGTAATTATGAAAATTAATAATCTTGTCCTGAAAAAAACTACATTCGTAGGCGAAGAATAAAACTGAAGGCTCCGACTTCTTTGATGAAACGCGCGTCGAGAAGGGTATTGCAGCTCTGGTGATGAAACTTTGGTTTTTTCAATCATTATCAGTCATATTTTTTTTTTAGTAATGTAACTTTTTCAGTGCTTGTGAAAAAAATTGTTATACAAATTTTATGTACCCCCTTTAAGGGGCTGTATCTTAACAAGGGATGCTTCAATAAAATGTCTTTATATGAAAGATCCTATCTTTTTTTCGATGAGGAATTACCTCTTTAAATGGTTTATACTTATTTAGTTACACCCTGTAGTTGCTGCCACTCCTGCTTCTTTAGCTTTCTTCCTCCTTTTGGCCTTGGCGCCGCAGCTGCGCCGCTGTTGTATTACATCACGAGGTGATCTGCTAAGTCCAGCCTTATTTCGAGCGGTAGATTGGGGTGGATAGAAGGGGTTATTTTGGTGTTGTTTTAGCGGAATCCTGGCATTATTTTTTACGAAAGCAATGAACACAACTGAATAGGTGTTTACGAATGGTTTTGTCTTTGCCTTTGTAAAAGCCTTTCATTTGTATTATAAGTGAATAATAAATCCATTAAACAGGCGTATTTTGTTACTTTAACGTATTTTATATTTATATTTCGCCTTGATAGATATATTATAACTGGTAAATAAAATTTGTAGGGTGTTTCTGCACCTTACAGTATTCGCGAATCTGGATTGTTCAGTGTTTTCTCTTCAGTTTCAGGGTAGTCTGTGCACAAGAAACTACTAGGCGCCTTTATAATAATTTTTTTATACATATTCATACTTATCTGTTGGATTTAACCCACGGCCCTTACAAACAAGCACATTACTTGCCGTACAAAAAAAAAGAACCAAAAAAGGCCAAAAAATACTCATTATTCGTTTGACTATTACAAAATATAAATGATATCGAACTTCATGGTCCCTTCTGACCAATTCAACATAAAAATCGAATGAAGCCCAATCTTCACTATCCATTTTGTATCTTATTTTAAAAAATATAATTTTCAGTTTCAGTTCGGTTTTATTTTTAATTTTGCTTCGTTCGTACTTAGTTATGGTATACTTTTGATTTATAGTTTTATTCTTTCCCCACCAGAAACATGTATGTTTTTTGGGAAAATAAATCGTTATTATTACTCATATAATCTCAGATTGTTCAGATACNCATTGTCTCTTCGTTCCTATTGAAATTATTCCTATGCTTTTGAATCTCTATTGCCTCTCAATATATTCTTGGGTAGTTATTTTGGGTACTGTCGAGTATTACTGTGTCTTCGAATGATATAGTGTATGTGGGTACCTTCTTTGTTGAGGGCATGTTCTGCCACAGCCGACTTATCGGTTTGCCCGAGGCATCAGGTTCCCTTGTGTTCGGAGAGACGGGTCCCTATACTTCGATTCGTGGTTTCGATGTAGACCGACCCGCAGCTACACGGGATTCGGTATACCCTTGGCGTTGCTAGGGATTCTCTAGGGTCCTTCGCTGACCTGAGGCTTTGCCTGATGGTTTTTGTTAGTCTAAACTGAATATTCGTTTAACGTCGTGTTTCACTAAGATTCTACCAATCCGGTCTGTGACATTTTTGACATAGGGTAGGAAAGCTTATCCCTTGACTGGCTTAGCTGGGGTTGCTTTGGTGTTCTCTCTCCTGTGTCATATGGCCCGTTAGAATTCTCTTCCGCTGTACCCATTAGGTTTGAATGCATTTTTCAGGTGATTTAGATCCTCAGGCAGATCCTCAGATACGCAGATTCGTCGTGATTTAGTTCTTCAGGCAGACCATATCGCGTTTGAAAATATCCACAGCAGCAGTAGACGAAAAGTCAGGCATAAAAACCTGCAGACCACGGCCAAGAAACCGGGAAAATAGCCTTTATAAAGTAATATCCGGCCGTGAAAGTTTACATTCTTCGATTACTTACGAACACTTTGACATCCTTGTCAATTATACCAAGAATGGTCTGTATGAGAACTTCTAGGATGGCCACACACAACGTATCGACATCATGATGAATACAATTGTTGATTTTTCCTTGTTCTTCACTTAATTTACGTTGCTTGAAAAGGTAGCCTGTGATTTCTCCAAGTATTTCAGTGCAAAGTTTCAATTCTTCTAATCTTGTTAAATGGTATCTCAAGTGTTTACAAGCGGTCACGAGAAGTATATTCCTGGATTCTAAAAAATAACAACTTTCAGAAAACTGACTTTCATTGATCTCATACTCACCGTCGTCCTGAAAGAGTTTGCTCATCACCATATTTTTTATACACGACAGTTTTGCTTGAACTAATAAGGTTGGTAGATCCCTAGGTAACGAATCCAGCATAGTTCCAGCAAGTTTAGTCACTTCTAATGTTGGCGTGACTTCAATAAGCTGCTCATATACTGAACTTAATGCCAAAAGTAGAGCAACCTTAAATTAAAAATGAATTCAGTGCTTGTGCTTGGGAAAACTGCTTCAGTTACTTACTTGTGTATTGATGATATGGCTGTCATTTATGGTCAGCATTTTATTCAACGAGGCAAAAACGCTGAACAAGTCTCTTCTGAAACTATCCTCGAAATGGCCACCAGTGGCGCGAGAAAATAAAAGACGACTTTGAATTATCAGTTTGAAAATATACTCCAAGCTTTTGAAACACTTTTGAATTGGTTCCTGCTTCTCGAAGGAAACTACCCAATCTGCACAATGCTGTACGCTTGTAAGGAGTCCCCTAAAATTTCATGACTTTGAAATGAAGTTTTGATATTTCAAATCATCTAAAATAGTCTTTCTCAAAGTGGGCGATAACGACCCCTTGTGAGGGCTGAAGGCCTATAGGGAGCAGTAAAGGGAACGGGGAAGATTGGGGGGCGTTGAAGTGGGTTAGGGGGGCGATGGCTGATTTAAAAATGTTTTTTTGCTTTCAACACAAACTTTACCGCTCCTTTACGCTTAACGCGCGTTTCCTCGTGTAACGCCATCTAGGGGACTAGAAGAACTATCTGCTGTCCGATAGTTGTCAAACTGTACAATAGATGGCGGTAAGCTTCATTGCGAAGCGAGAAGTTTCTAGTCTCCATTCTCGAAAGTACTAGGCCCGCCCGCTGCCTCATATGAAAGCGCGCGCGCCATCCATGTCGCCGGTAATGTCATTCGACGATATTACGCAAAACAAGTGAATATAGTTAGCGACTAGCTAGGTAAAGTGCTGTAAGTGCGGTGGTGAATACTGTGAGTGGTGTCATTAGCAAGTTTTTAATACTCAATTCTTTACTTCGGCATTTTTGAAGACAAAATTATGTCAGAAGAAAAAAAAAAAAGAAACGGCAGTATAGCGCGAAATATATAAAATATGGATTTATTGAAAATCCCACAAATCCATCTTCGCCTATGTGCCTTCTTTGTCAAAAAACATTTTCGAATGAAGCGACGAAACCCTCAAGGCTACAAGATCATTTGAATAAAATGCATTCAGATAAAAAACAAAAGTGTGACTTATTTTCAAGGACTGGAAAAGAAACACTCAGCTCAGCCAACTCTGTCAAAACTTTTTTCAGGGGTTTCTAAGCAAGACGACGACGGACTCCGAGCTTACTGCAATATCTCCTTGCTAATTGCTCGAACAGGTAAACCTCACACCAATGGAGAGGATTTAATTTTACCGGCAATAAAAAAAGTAATAACTACTGTGTTCCATAAACCAGCGGCAGATATTATCCGAAAAATTCCTTTGAGCAATAGTTCCGTGCAAAGACGAATTGATGAGATGGCTGAAAACATTTAAGAGTCATTGTGCAATCATCTGAAGACTTCTAAATTCTCAATTCAGTTAGATGAGTCCACCAACCAACGGAGCATTGTTGTTGTCATACGTGAGGTTTATTAAACATGAGAAAATATATCAAGAACTACTATTTGCCAGAAATTTAGAGACGGATACAAAAGGAGAAACCATATATAATAGACTGAAAAAAATTTGTGACGGGAAAGAAATTCCACTGAAGAATATTATATCAGCTGCTATGGATGGCGCTCCGGCTATGACGTACTTAAAAATAAAATTCTAGATGTGCTCGCTGCACATTGCGTCATTCATAGGCAACATTTGGTTGAGAAAAATTTGAGTGAGCGCCTCTCTCAATCACTGCAATATATCATCAAAGCAGTCAATAAAATCCGAAACAGCTCTTTAAATGATAAATTATTTAATCAGCTTTGTGTTGCTAATGATGAAGATTTCAACCGATTGTTATTTCACACAGAAGTGTGTTGGTTATTAAGAGGTAACTGTCTGACTATACTTTATAATGTATTTGACTCTGTAATAGAGTTCTTGGAAAACAAAGAATTGCACGACAACCTCATCACTTTAAAGAATGATAATATTGTGTACTTGACAGACCTGTATAAATTATTTAATGATGTCAATCTCCAACTTCAAGGTGAAGACTTGAATTTGATTGAAACAAAAAATGTTATTGCTGCTTTTGTAGCCAAATTGCTCTTATACAAGAATAATATCGGCAGACGTGAGTTTCGCAATTTCCCTAATTTGTCAGCAGTATCCTTCAACAACGACGACTTGCTTGTTTACTGCCAACATTTGGAGAACCTTTACAGTGATTTCGCAGAACGATTCCTGGACATTTTAAAATTGGAAATACCGGACTGGGTGTTGGATCCTTTTTCAAATGTCACAGCAGAATCACCCCAGCGGGAAGAAGAACTCATAGAACTGATAACGAACGAGGAAATAAAAATAAAATTCAAAAATGGATACCAAGAATTATGGCTACAAAAGCCAATCCCGCAATTGTACCCTGGATTGTGGTCCATCGTTCAACGATTTTTGATAGCATTCCCATCATCGTATTTCTGTGAACGTGGATTTAGTACTGTGGCAACGTTGCTAACAAAGTGGTGTTTTACATTACCCTCATCAGAAAGTCTTATTTTCACATGACACAAATAATTCAATTATTAAAATAATGACTGCGATTGTGATTCTCAAGATGTAGTACAGTAAAAAAATTTGGGGGGCGCTAAAAAATAATTAATTCTCGAAGTGGGCGGTAGACAAATTAAGTTTGAGAACCTCTGATCTAAAAGAACAATTTGTTCAGGCCAGTCACAACTCCCAACACTATAGGTTAATGGACTGACACCTATCAGAAAACAACTACTCCTCTGGCTAATACCACGAAGGGCGTTGAATTATATCCGACAGGTGTCAGTGCAGGATTCTTCACTGAAGTTATTCCTGCATGTGCTGTTGGGGATCCAACTGCCACAATAGATTTTCAATTATTGGAATACACTTGCAGACCAGTTTCGGGCTTTTCGCCACTCGTCAGTGCAAGGCAGTGTCTATCATCAACATGAAGTCGATGATTTCCGATAATTGAAAATCGAATTCCTTCAGAGTATCATTCCTCGAACTAGGCTGAAGCGGACAACAAATAACAGATTTGTCATCGCCCCATCTGCCTGTGAACGAGGTAACCAACCGCATATCCGAAATTTGTCCAATTCCTCGTATAAGAAAAAATACTTCATATATAGTCAGTGGGCATACTGTCCTGAACAAATTGTTCATTTAGATGATTTGATTTATAGCCAGATATAGAAGTTTTGATATTTCACACAGTGATTCTACGTGGTGCCAAAGTTAAGAACAAAAAAAAACATTAGTCACTTACTTATATACAAGAGCAGCAGCAAAGTGATTTTTTATATAAGCGTCAAGTACAGGTTTGAAATGTTGGTACTTAGAACCATCCAACAGGTTGAATATTGAAACTAACACATGAAATACTAGACCACTATGGGTTGTGGAATTGCCATCTTCAGTTGAAAATAATGCAAACAATGCATCAAGAACGTCTTGGAGAAATTTAATAAGTTCCTCGTCTCCTAACCTCAACACTCTTTGAAGGGATTCCTGGATTCTTTCTGGGTGAGACTTCCATCTCAATAACGCCAGTAAATCAACTGAAATTCAATATTGAAACAGTAGCAGAGCAATACTGTAATGAATATAGTACTTTACCGTTTTGTGTGAGTTTTGTGGAGCACAACAGAGTTTTTATGGTTATCATTTCTTTGTGGCTTCTAGAGAATTGCCCGCTAGCTTCATGGTTTCCTTCGAAGTCTTTTGCAAAAGATGGGAGTGAAAGGTAACCGCAATTCTCAAGTTTTTGAGAATCTTCACATTTGTAAATATACAGGTCATGTTGGCCATCTTGCACAGCTGCTCCATCTTTATCCATGAGGCGAATAAACGAAAACCCAAACAGTTTTTTATCATTCTTTTCTCTGGCTGTGAATGTGAAAAGTGTTAATTTAAGGATTACAACAAAAGTAATGAGAACTTACTTGAACAATGCCGATATTCGAGGCGAACATGTGCTCCAGCAAATTTATCAATCGGTAACGTTAACCTAACATTCTCAGCCCAAGCAGGAGAATTGTGGTGATATATGATCATAGAGTTATATTCAGAAGTAGCCTCTGAACCCGAGGCACCCCACAAACAGTTCTGAAACAAAAACATATTCAAGTTACGCGAATCTCAGTACCTTTCATCGCATACCTTTATGATATTTTTCTCGCTGTCTAAAACCACTACAGATACTTCGATATTTTTCCCTGTAGATTTACCTCCCCTTTCGAACTCTCCTTTATCGAGATAAAGGTAAAGGTCATTTCTCACATCGCCAGGCATTATAACATCTGGAAAGCCTAACTTGTTGGTCAAACTAACATTTTTGAACAACAAAGTATTCTCTTCTTTTATTGTTCGGAGCTCTCCGTGGAGCATCTTTACGGAGATCATTATCCCATAATTTATATGTGCTGATAGGGCGCTGAACTTTCCTGTTTGTCGTATTATGAACTCATGTAGTTGGTGAAAATCTTTTTCTTCACATTGATAGACCTGAAAAGTATTAGTAGTATCAGGGGAGCCCACGATGCAAAATGGGGATTTACTATTAGGTTGCAAAGTTTAGATGATAAGAAGATAAAAATGTTATATAATATATACCTTTTCATCGGTGGGGGAAGCGGCTATATATTTTTAAATATGTAAAAAAATACTGTTGCACGGACATACTCGAGCGCGTCAGATATTAATAGCATCAATGTCCTACGTATTTTTAATAACGTTTGTATGTTAATCTGATCGTTTGCATGATGCGGGTGGTTGTACGTAAGGGTTAAAAATGAAAAAAAAAATGAATCGAGCGCGTCTGGCGAGGGTGTTAAGTGCACCAGAAAAAAGCTCTCATTCAATAATCTGACGATTTCGCGGCCATTATTATAATGTGCAAAAAACATCGCCATTTTGAAATACTTAGGTGCGTCAGATTAAGATATATATGGTTCATCTTTATTTTAGACGTGCTGTCTCATAATCTGACGATTATCTAGAGGGATTCGCCTAATCAGAGAGTAATAGATAGAGAAAAAGTGAAAAAGGAATAGAAACGCGGAGAGGGAAATATAGGCATCACGCAGCTGCACGCATTAAACTTTCTCGACGAATTTTTGCTATTTCGGCTTGCGGAAATCGTCAGATTTTCGATATCCTTGAATTATTTCCTTCAAAATAAAAAAAAAATTAGCTACGCTCGAGAATCTCGAGATGAGGTTTTTTTACAACTTTGCTGCCCTCCCCTTTCTTTACGTCACTCTCAAATTGTCTGATTACTGGAATATACACTTTTTAGCATGTAATTAACTCACCCTACCTTAATCTGACGCGCTCGAGAAATTCTGATGATCAATTTTTTTTGCTAATCGGATCCTTTATCCTTCACGGGCGGCCTTATATATGGGGCTCATATTTGGTGGAGGTACTTAACCGGGTACAGGGTATCCCCCTGTATATTAATCTGCCGCGCTTTAGTAATTCCCGAAATCCCCGCTTGGGATCCCCTGGTATAGAGAAAGAGTTTTGGCGATGAGATTATGAAACTTACCCTCATGCTGAACTCCTTTTCTTCTGTATCACTTTCCTTACTAGTCAAATAATCACCTAAATTTTGCACAGCTACCCCATGAGGCCTTTTGAATATTTGTTGTTGAGCTACCAACTTATCAGTCTTTTTTGAACTATCAGAATAAAGCATTTTACCAATTCTCATTATATGAGCAACTATGTATATTTCTTTCACCAACTCCGCATTACCTAATTCCTGAAATTAAATAATAATACTTCTTGAGATCCAGTAAAATATTTTAATAAAAAAGTAAAGCATCATAAATCATTTCAACGAAAAGAGATTTATGAAATTGAAAAATTGTGTGTGTTTTCAATGTTACAAATTAGTATAGTCCAAGTAACGTGTATTGTGCATACTTAAAGTGTCGGAACCCTCAAAGGCCAAAAAACCAATACAAAGAAATAAAGCTGCTGCCAACTAGTCCACAGGGACTGAAGAAATGGCGGTTCTTATTGGATTATTTTTACCAACCGAGTTTTATCATTGGCTGAAGAGTCATAAAATTAAATTTGAAGTCATGTTACAGTGACGAATAGAATGCGAGGATGGTTATAAGAGTCATGTTGTCAACGTTCAGTTCAGGAACTGATCGCGATTTGAGTGTTGAAATTCGATATTGGCGCAGTTATAATTACTTAATTTTTGTTATCTGTTTAAAATGTGGCATCCTTGGACAAGTACTAATAGTAATAACGAGTGTGTTAACAATGCAGACTTATTCCTGTGTAGTGATTCCAAAAGGGATGCTGAACAATACAAAAAAAGAGATACCAGTGAATAACATCAGATTTGACCGAAATTCCTTTGTCAATTGTACGTAAAACAGTCAAAAACAAACCTTATAAACGCAAGACGCGATGTGATATGGGAGTACCAAAACTTTTAGATGATACTGTTATAGATATACTGATATATTTATACACAACATATTTTATATCACATCTATATTTCCCGACGTTTCTTCCCGAAACCACATCATCACTATCATTTTTTATTAAGACCTCGAATTTCCGAATGTTACTGAAATCCAGAGTTCTCCTGTCAATAATGTTGTTCATTGAGATTATAAATATTTGTATTCACTGAAATCCAACTAAATTTCTGTCAGGGTCGTCTTGAAAAAGAGAGACCAATAATCTTTGTATCAAAATATTTACAAAGAGTTGCCAATTTTCAAGAGATATATGGTGTTAACGTATGGCTTGGTGTTCTTGATAATAAAATTCTTGGCCCCCACTTTTTTGAAACACATCGCAGGAGAATCTGCAGAGATTTCCTCAATACAACTACGCTAGGAAGGTTGATAGGAAATAATGGTCCTATTGAATGGCCACCACGTTCACCGGACCTTTCTCTTCTAGATTTTTCATTTTGGGGCTTCATAAAAGATCGAGTATTCAGAACAAATTTTGAAAATATTGAAGAATTGAAAGATTCAATAAGGAGTGCCTGCATCGCTATCACTCCACAGATGTAAGAAAACTGCCACAAGCACACTATTTCTAGAGCAAGTATTTGTTTAAGAAATGATGGAAGACAATTTGAACATTAGATGCGATATCGCGTGAGACGGTAACTTAAAAAATGTAACGTGAGATATTCCGTTATGGTGTTCATTTTCTATCATTTATTATTTCGTTACATTTTCTTTTGCAACTGTCTTTTTCAGTGTGATGTGTTAATGATACTGTTAACTATGTGTTACAACAGTAGTTTGATATTTGATTTCTCATTGAATAAAAAAAGTTAAATGATTATAATGACTACGAAAATGTATAAAAAAATATACAGGTCCGTATTTGAAAAACATATATTGATGATGGAATTCAATGAACGAAACGTTGCATTAAAAAATGAGTTCACCCAGATTATAAAGCACATGAAATACAACAAAGAGTTTCTTTGTCATTTTTGGATATTATTGAAAATGGAGGTGGTAGAGCAAAAAAATAAAATCTGTCATTTTCAGTTTTTTGCAAATATGTCGGAAACCGTTGATGATTTTATAGATATGAAAATACCAGTGTGTTGCATCCTTAAATAGGCAACTTTTGTTCCATTCAACCGTCCTTGTAGGATCTACCGTTTCCGAGATGGCAATAGTGGTATCAGCTAAAAAATACGGCCTGTATAACAGTATCGAAAGATTGTCAAATATTCAAAACGAATGAATCTTCATGAAGGTGAATTTGATATCAAAACTTTTCACTTTATTCCGTTGTATAGGTATAGAGTTTATTTCATGAACGATCCTATTTCTGTTTTGGCTAATGAATATTTATTTATACAAATAAGGAAGAAGTAAGTTATGTTATTCATTATCCGTAGACAGAGGCAATTATTTTAGAAAGGCTTTTTCTTCGATCAATATTTCTGTTTTGGCTAATGAATATTTATTTATACAAATAAGGAGGAAGTAAGTTATGTTATTCATTATCCGTAGACAGAGGCAATTATTTTAGAAAGGCTTTTTCTTCGATCAATATCAGTTTTTGAATTTCCCATCTTTCTTTGTACATTTCAAATTGTTGTAATGTTATTGAACAGAACAAGAGTTTTATATTTCAAACAACAATCAAACATACACTACTCAATATTAAAACAAATGATTACAAAAGTTTGCTAAAAACTATCTAAAAATGAGCCCAGAAAAGTAACATATTTCTGCTTACCGTGAAAACAGTACAATTGCTGTGTAATTTTTCCACATAATTTGAGAAACCGTCTTTAGAAATTTTGACTAGGAATCGTTCCGTGAGGAATTTTTGTTTACAAGCATCATATAAAGAAAAATATATTTCCGTATCTTCGCCTACGTGGTGACCAAAATCTCTCATACAAAAATACAGATGATGGGTGAGAGTTTTCTTCTGTTCTTTTTTCTTGATTGTCCCTCTGGCCTGTAATATAATTAGGTTTATAGATGAGTAAATTTTGACTTTCAACGATACTTGCAATGAAATGTAATTTTGTTTTGTTCACAACATTTAGCATTTGCTAAAGTTGTTGAAGAGTTTTCTATACAGGACGTTCCTACATAAACTTGACCCCTCTATAAATTAGAAACGGACGTGTAATCGAAAATTTCAAAGAACACGCCAATTTCTATTTCTAAGAGGACTAATTCTGATATGGAAATCATACCCGAAACTTCACCCCCTTGCATTAAGCAACTACCCCCCTATTTTTTTAATGGCATGGGGGGTCGAGAGATACATCATTTGAAAGGCCTTTTGTCCCTCTATTACCTCTGTAATTTTTTTTCGAAATTGGTTCATTCGTTATTGGGAAATTAAATGTTAAACGTTTTATTTAAGAAAAAACAGAAAATTTGCTGTCGTTAATTTGAATGAGGAAATCAACTACAAATAATATCAGTGAGAACAAAATGAGCGGATGAATTGTTCAAAATGACCTCCACCTAGTTCCACACAATAATACAGTCTACTCTCGATAATGTACTCCGTACATTATTCAAGATGTCCGGAGTCAGCAATCGGCATTCCTGAACCTCTGTCGCAGGTCTTCTAGATTTGTAGGCTTAGTAGAGTACACTTTCGACTTCAGGTGCCCCCACAGAAAGAATTCCATCGGTGTGAGATCAGGTGATCTAGCTGGCCACTCCACTGGACCCCTTCTGCCGATCCAACACATTGAAAAACGTTGAAAACTTTCGTCCAGAAACTGTCTCACCCAAACATCAAAATGTGGGTGTGCACCATCCTGCTGAAATGTTATTTAATTTTCTACTAAATTGTCATCATTTTCTGAAATTTGTGTAATCATAGGATATACACAGTCTTGTAATATATTTAAGTATGTGTCTCCACTGAGATTACCTTCAATGAAGAATGGTTCAACAATATGATTACCAAGAATGCCGGCCCAGACATTCAATTTTTGTGGAGTTTGTGAATGTGCTTCCATCACCAAATGAGGATTCACATTGCTCCAGTAACGACAATTATGTCTATTCACTTCATCATTCAACATGAAAGAACTTGTATCTGAAAAACATGTATTGTAGAATAAGGTTTGGGTTATTGGTCAATTTCTCGCTGAACACCTCACAAAACTGAAATCGACGATCAGGATCATCTTCGTCTAATTCCTGACCTGGTCTTATTTTGAAAGGATGGAATTTGTAGGCTTTCAAAATCCGAAAAACACAAGTAGCTGATACAGCAGACGCTCTAGCTACTTGTCTGATAGATTGTCGATTATCCACTTGTACGTGTCCTAAAACTGCAACTTCAACTCCGTCATTTCTGACAGGACGGAATACTTCATGTTTTCTGTTGTGAACAGAACATGAGGTTCGAAACTTATCCATTAACTGTTTAACGTATTGATGGTTCACGTTGTGGTCTGGATAATTCGTATTATAAATTCTTGCAGCAGCTTTAGCACATTCATCATTTCGATAATAGGTTGCAACAATTTCTATTCTTTCTTCAGTAGAACAAACCATGTTGGAACACAGTGAACAAGGATGACTGAAATAAAATATTTCGTGAAGAAGTGACAGTAGCCAACTATCTACTTTTTGTTCTGCGACAACTAGATTCAACAAAAACTACCAGTGCAGAAAAACCTGACAGTGTCGTCCACTTCAAAACGTTTACTAATCTACTATATAAAAATGGATGTTTGATGGTTGGTTGGTTGGTTGTTAAGTGATAAACTGCTACATCGCTCAACCGATCGTGATGAAACTTGACATGAATAANGTGATAAACTTCTACATCACTCAACCGATCGTGGTAAACTTGACATGTATAAGTAATTTTTCATAGAGAAGGTTTTTAGGCTATCAATTTTTCTGTAACTCGCCACTAGATGGCGCTGTAGAACTTAAAATGTAGATATAGTTCAAAATTGAAAATAATTTTTTTTTGAAAAATAACGACATGCTATTGAAAATACATTTCAATATAGGTGCAGCTTCAATACAATGATAAATAGAAAGAAACAATATACAAATACTATATTATTTTACCGAATATTATTCTATCTAGCGTTATGGGTGGATTTATATAACTGTTTTTTCAAAAATACTTAATACTGGACTAATAATTACATAAACTCTACAAATCTAGAAAACCTGCCACAGAGAATTGTTCGGGAATGCTGATTTCTGACTGTGGACATCTTCAATAATGTTAGGAACGCTTTCGAAAGTAGACTGTATTATTGTATGGAACTAGATTGAGGTCATTTTATAAAGAACTACCGAAATCTAAATGAAAACAAAAAACAGAAAGTTGTTTTTGTTTTACAATTGATGGCTCAGTTTCTTGTGTTTCCTCCTCGGACAGAAAACACAGCTCGGATTCGCCGGGGCATGGTTCTTATGAGCCTCCTGAGGTTTTCTTGAGGCAAACGCCCCCGATTACCTTCTCAACCAAAGTGGTGTCTGATTTTGATGCCTTAGGATGCTTCTTTCCATTTGATCCGAGATATTTTCGATGGGATTCAGGTCCGGGCTGCAGGCGTGCAACCCCAAATTGGTGATATTGTGGGCTTGTAGGTACTGACGCACGATTCCTGCAGCACGGGGACGGGCCTCATCGTTCATTAAAATGAAATTGTGTCGTCCTGCTTCTGCTCTGTGACGTATCTGGACATCCAACACGTCTTTAACATACCTTTGGGAGGTCAAGGATCCGTTGCGGATGACTACAAGGTCTGCACGACCATTGAGTGTTATTCCACCCCACACCATTATTTATCCTCCTCCAAATGGGACCCTTGAAGACAAACAGCATAGAATAAAACGTTTAGCACTTCTTTTGTATACTCTGGCCCGACCATCATTACCAAAAAGAGTAAATTTAGACTCATCAGAAAAGAGTACTATTCGCCAATGACTTAGCTGCCAACGTCTTTGTCTCCTAGCGAACTGCATTCTTTATTTGTTATGACGTGCCGAAAGCCGAGGTACCTGGACTGCTCCTCTAGATCTCAATCCACCATTGCTCGACTCAGCATATTTTGTAACTCACTGACTGTTTGAAAATCTGCGTCTGAGGACACTTGAACGTAAGTACCTGTCCTCTTGGGCTGAAGTGGACATTCGCCGCCCTTGATCTGGCCTTCTATGGACACTCTCTAGTTAGTAGCGGTTCCAAAATTTTGAAACCACTGATTAACTTACACTTAACATTTGACCCACCTGACATTGAGAAACACCACCTTCAATACATGTGACAACCCTAGTGACATCATTGTAGAAAGGAGGCAACCAACAGAAAATGAGTAAATTGTATCTTATAAGTTCAATTGTATACAATGTATATAAAAAGAATTATCTATACCTACTAATCCAAAGCCAAGAGACAAAAACAACCTATGTTGTTTCTCATCAAAGTTGTTCACTAACAAAGGTCACATTATTATATTTATCATAAAACTTATTCTTGTACATGATCATTACAATATAGTGATCCTTCAATTGTTTTGAAGAGTGTATTTTTTAAATACATTGTATAAACTTCATGAAAATAGAAACAGGTGGAAAAAACCTTATGCAGGTCATGAGGATGAAAGTATTGTTGACGAAAACGAAATATATTCATAGTATTTCAATTCTAGGGAAGTTATAAAATGCAATAAATAATTGTCTGGAAGAGTTTTGGAGACGAAGATCAAGGATTTAGCTTCTTAGCTAGGTTACTTCTAATTCACCTTATTATGGGCCCAAATATCTTTAATAAGTTACCGAAAGACATTAAGAGTAACACTGTCAATTTGTATATCTTATATTTCTTAGAATAGTAACACTTTGTCAATGAGATTTTATCTTCGACAATGAAGTACATTTTGATTGATTGATTGATTAAAATCCGGAGAGGTGCATATGATATGCTCAAGTACAGGTGAAAACAGCACACCCGTGCCTCTCGTGTGAACCTACGATTTTGTAGGTACGGAAAGACAACAACTAATCCAGCTAATGTTGCGCAAAAAGCTGAAGTAAAACCATCAGGTACCTGTCCAACGTCTCCCATTTGGAAGATTCGTCGCAAGTAACTTCCTATATATGAAAAGCTGAAATTAGTTTCATTTGGTCGAGATGACCACCGATCGACAGGTTTCGGAGTACTAGCTCCACGTCAGTACCGGGAGGGTCATTTCAGACGGAGTGAACCGTCTGGGTTAATTGTTGTTTATCCGTCGGGTATCTGCGTACAAAGACGCAATAGTCGGCTGGCATGGTGATGGTATGAGTATTTTGGGATGCGCATTGTATAGTTAATATTCATCGACTATCTTGAAAAGGGAAAAATCATCAACAGCGACTATTACATTGGACGAAATCGCGGAAAAACGTCCCCATCTGAAGAAAAAGAAAGTGCTGATTCATAATGATAATGCATAGTGCCACAAATCAATGAAAACAATGGCAAAATTTCATGAATTGGACTTCGTCTTGCTTCCACATCCACATATTCTCCAGATCTGGCCCACAGCGACTTTTTCCTCTTCTCAAACCTCAAGAGAATGCTCGCTGGAAAAAAATGTTGCGCCGATGAAGATATAATCGTCGAAACTAAGGACTATTGTGAGGATAAAGGCAAATCGTACTATAAAATGGTATATTTTCAGCCCTACTGTTAGAAATTGACACAGACATTATTAATGAGAAACACTAGACATGATCAATCAGAGATAGAAAATCATTGAATTGGTTTACGTCGACAAATTCCTCATCCCTTTATGAATATTTCACATCAATTCCACAAAAGTCCAGAAATCTTTAAATTTGTGAAATTTTTCTCCACACCAGGTGAATGCAACTACATTCAGTGGAGATTACGGAAATATGGCCTTGAAGTGGGACCGATGACCCTTGCAGAAGTCGACAGTGGACCGTAGACGATGACAAAGAGGAAGAACC